ACACACCAAGATTTACCAAATCAATGTCTCTCAGCTGGCCACTTAAATATTGAAGGTCAAAAAATGAGCAAATCGCTGAAAAATTTCATTACCATTCGTGTAAGTATCATTTGACAGTAATTACCTAATTTGATTTGGTCTAATAATTTAATTTATATTTGAATAAATTTAGCAAGCTTTAGAAAAATATACCGCTCGACAACTGCGATTATGTTTCCTTCTTCATCAATGGGATTCAAAATTAGATTTCAAAGAAACTATTATGGGGGAGGCCAAAGGCATTGAAACTATCTTAAATGTATGCATTTTTAATTTGTTTTATTTTTATAACTAGAAATAAGCATATGTTTCGAATTGATATATCTTATATATCCTATTAGAATTTCTTTGTTAATACAAAAGCACTATTGAATGAATTTAAACTTACTGCACATGAATCTGATGGTACACATCGATATAGTACTTCCGAAAAAGAACTATTGAATCTGTAAGCAAACAATTTTTCGTTTAGTCCTTTAATCATTTAATTGTACTAAATATTCATTCTTTTAGCTTTTACGAAAAACAATCAGCCGTTCACGCAGCGCTTTGCGACTCCTTTAATACACCAACTGTAATTAGTGAATTATTGGAACTTGTTAGCAAGACTAACATTTATATATCTGCTGGAAGAAATAACATTAACATGTTCGTACTCGAAAATATAGCAAAATATATAACAAAAATATTAAAACTTTTTGGTGTTATTGGAAACGTTTCATCTGAAGATATTGGTTTCGATGAATCAGAAAAAAACGTTATAAATGTAAGCACTTATATACTTTATTTTTATTTTTAACATAAAGCTGCAAATTTATTAAATTATTATAATTTATTTATTGAATCAAAAAAGCAAGATGAGGTCGTGCTTCCATATCTTCGTGTTCTATCAAGTTTTCGTGATAATGTCCGAGAACTTGCACGTCAACAGAAAGGTCATGGTGAATTTTTGGCTTTAAGTGACAAGCTGAGAGACATTGATTTGGTAAATCTTGGTGTGTCACTAGATGATCAAGAAGATGGAAAGGCTTTAGTTAAGTTCGTAGATAAAGATATACTTATCAAAGCAAGAGAGGCGAAATTACAACTTCAAGCCGAAAAGGCTGCCAAGAAAGAAGCTGCTGCAAAAGCTAAAGAGGAAGAAAGAAAAATAAAGTTGGAAAAAGGAAAACTCGCTGCAGAGGATATGTTTAAAGAGGAAAAGGATGAAGATGGGACCACTCTTTATTCTGCTTTTGATGAACAAGTATATTTTTAACAATATATGATTAACTTAATAATTTGTTATAAAAAACGTTAATATCAATCTTTTTTTTACTTTTAGGGAATCCCGACGCACGATAATAAAGGAGAGGAACTGTCTAAAAGTAAACTTAAAAAATTAAAGAAAGAATGGGATATTCAAAAAAAATTAAATGACGAATATTTGGCTTATACTGCTTCTAATTCTGACAATTAATGTCTGAAAAAGGCAAAGTATTTTAAAAATAGATTATACAGTAATAGTATAAAATAATTCCAAATTTTTGGTATTTAATACTAAGATTGCTTTTTTTATAAGGTAAAATTGTTTTGGTGTTTTTAATAAAGTTGTAAATACAGGTTTTTTTTTATATATATATATTTATTTCGTTTAAACATTTACAAGTACGTACGTTAGGTTTTATTGTAAAAAAGTTTTTTTATATTTAATATGAAGATTGTTTTTCTATAATTTGCTTTGGTATTTTTAGATAATAAAGTTGTAAATACAGGTTTTTTTTTTTTATTATATATATTTATTTTATTTAAATGTGTATTAGGTTTTGTCGTAAAAAAAGATTTGAAATTATTTACACTTTACGAAACAAATATTTAGTGTTTAACTAAATATTATTTTAGTATACTAACTTAATAATAAGGCTACTCCAATTTAATTTTCTGTTTAACATAACATAAAGTAGCTTATAATAGTAGGAGAGAAGTTATTAAAAATAGTGATTTGAACCGAGAAAAAATTCCTTAGTCGGGTAACCGAACCGAAATATTTAATGTCAACCGATTAAGATTACTTCACACTTTACCTTCGGAAGTTCTCGAACCTTTACTCAAAATTTTATTCATTCATTTTCTTTTCGGGAGTTCTCGGACCCTTTGCTTCGTCTGTCAACTCTAGGGGAGAACATCGATTGTTACACAAACTATCAATTGAATAAAAAATTTAGAGAATTGCTATTTCCACTTCTACTTTTGCTAATACCACCTCTTCAAAATACATAAAAGCGTTTCTTAAAAGATATTATTAAGTAAACCTCTTTTTTGATATTAAAGTTGTTTATTAGGTTTTTCTTTTTTTTTTTTTTTTTTTTTTTTTTTTTATACAAATACTATTGGTTTAATTTTTATTAGTTTTTCATAATTACAGAATATGATACATATTGTGAGAGTATAACTAGTCATATATACAATTTTAGGTTGTCTAATTTAAGTAGTTTGTTTAAGGTTTTATACTAGCTACTATGCTTGAAATCTCTTAGAAGATTTTCTATTTAAACTCTCTAACCTTATTGCAAATATTTATATTAATAAAAATTCAGCTGATAGCATTTGTATAAAGCAAAAAAAAAAAAAAAAAAAAAGTAATTCTAGATATAGAAAATGTGAATATTGTAATAAAAATAATACAAATAATGCATAGTATAATACATATGATCCTAACAATATAATTCAAGAATAGACAAGTAGAAATAAGGATATTAATAACTTTATGAAAGACTTTCAACTTAGAGCTACTTCATATAAAGAAGTAATTGAATAGATTTCTTTAATAAACTAAATAAGATTAAAAATATTGGTGAAAAAGGATTTAGCTCTGTATTTTCAGTATTCAGATTAGATAGTATACAAAAAATTGATGATAATAGAAGAGTGTAAGAACTTGGAATTGTTGTACTAAAATTCTTGCCTGGTTCTAATAAAAACCTTCTCTGCTTATTACTTCAAATAAATTCTATCAACTAGTCAGATCACTAGAATTAACTATATGTACTATACATATGAATATAATATATTTACAGCATTTTGCAGTAATTTAGTAATTATCTTGAGTATTATCTAGTTATATCTACTCAGGTATTACTTGGTTAAATCTACCTAAGTAGCTATAATCACTACTTGGATATCTGATTATCTGCAGATAACTCAAGTAATATCTAACTCAAGTACAAATACTAAATTAAACAAGTTTGCTTTGAAATACTGACAAAATTTTTTTACAAAATTAGCTATTCTTAGCTCATATATAACTCTAAATTTTTTTCTTATAATATAAAAACAAATACTGCAAAAAGATAATCCTTAT